GGATCTCGTCAAGAACAACATCAGAAAATTCTTCAAGGAGAGATCGGATTTCTTCTAGAAAAGGGCAAGTGGCATCATTTACTTTGGATAATAGTAGGAGACATGCTATTCCTCACTCTTGGTGCAACTTCTGAAAGCTTGATTTGGAGATTAAAGCCTTGTCCTCATCCTTCTTTTCAAGTGTTTCTACAGGTTTCAGGGGAGTGAGCTTGACCTTCACACCATCTTTCACAAACGAGTAGGTGTTGGCATGGCCATCATGGATAGCCTTTCGGTCAAATTGCCAAGGGCGACCAACTAACAAGTGACAAGCATCCATAAGAATAACATCACACCATACTTCGTCTTGGTACCTGTTACCAATAGAAAAAGAGACAAGGCAACGTTTGGTTACTTTTACCTCGTTTCCCTTTCGTAGCCATTGTAACTTGTATGGATGGGGATGATCTTTGACAGGCAGACCTAGCTTCTCAACCATATAATTTGACACAACATTCTCACAACTTCCACTGTCAATGATGACATTGCAGACTTTCCCTCGAGAAGTGCATTTGGTGTGAAAGATGTTATGTCGAAGCCAATCTTCATCCTTGGTTATGGTAGCATGTAGACTACGACGCACAACCAAAGATTCTTCATGGTCAGCTGGGATGAGTTCTTCCTCAAGCTGGGGTGACTCAGTTTCATCATTTTGCTCCTTTTCTGCTTCATCTTCTGAGGCTTCATGAATTTCTCCTCCGATAATGGTGACAACTCTCCTATTTGGACAGTCGGAGACTATGTGGCCAAATCCTTAACACTTGAAACACTTTCGAGTGTTAGATTGAGCTGGACGGCTCGAGCTAACTTCCTTCTCAGTCTTGGTAGGGGTCTTAGCAATAGTTTTTGAGGCTTAAGTTCCTCTGCTGGCTCCAAAATCCCGCGGTTTTGAAGTACTAGGGATATTCTTTTTTGAGATTTGCTTTTCAACCCTCAATGCTAGCCGAATTACATCATCCAAAGTCCAATATTGTTGAAGTTGAACAACTTTGGAAATGTCATAGTCCAATCCTCCAAGATATCGAGCTATGGTTTGCTCATCCTTTTCCCGAACATCACACTTCATCATTAATTGTTCGAACTCCATAGTATATTCTTCCACAGTCAAAGATTTTTGCTGCAAGTTATGAAATTTAACAAAATTATCTTGGTAGTAACGATCAGGTAAAAACTTACGAGTGAGTTCCCGACGCATTTTCTCCCAAGTTCTAATTTTGTTGCGGCCTTCTCTTTCTTGACTGCGTTTGAGATTCTCCCACCAAATGGATGCATGTTTCTTTAATTTGATGGCGACGAGCTTCACACGCTTGTCATCAGGAATATCCTTGAGTTCAAACACACGTTCCACAGTGTGCAACCAGTTGATAAATTCATCTAGTTGAAAGCAACCTTCAAAATCTAGAATATCAATTTTGATGCCAAGGTCAGTGGATTTGGGAGCAACATTTTGTTGGGGACGTCGTCGACGACAAACTCTTTCTGTTGATGATGAGCTTTCATTATCCCTTAGGTGATGGAAGGGATTCTTGTCATCAGTATCTTCCTCTGACTCATGTGGTTCATCTTGCGGGTGTTGAGCTTGTTGTCCCTCAAAAGCTTCGAGTCTTTCTTGAAGCCTTTGAATTTGTTGACGTAGTTCTTCCATTTCTATGTCTCGAATAGCTCGTTGACGAGGAGGATTTTGTCTTCTAGGAGGCATGATGAGTTTAGGTTGGTAAGGGGCTTTTTGGAAAGTTAGTATTTGAAAGTGGGGGTAATTTGAAATTTATAAAATTATGGGATCAATCTATAAGGTCAAAATAAGTTGAGGGACTTGATGACGTGGTAAAAGAGTGCAGCTGTTGTGATGACGTGTCACTGATGTGGCTGATGGCGTGTCAAGTGATGTGGCACAAATGATGTGGCAGTGATTGGATGATGACGTGGCTGATGACACGTCGATGACGTGGCGAATGAGAGGTTGAAGATGACCGGCGCGTGACTTTCACGCGATTTGCAGTGGTACGAGTGGTCAGCGCGTGAGACAACGGCGGTGGCGCGTGTAGGCGCATGCAACCTTGTTCATCGACCTGATTTTCACCAAAACGCTCAGAATGACGTGCAGACTCCAAATATATTAGCTCTGATACCAAATGGCGTAGGAGCCGATACCAAAACACCGATTTTGGCGAGATTTAAAATCCCACTACGATGAATTCGATTGTCAGGTTCACCACTTAGGTTGGCAAGAGCTAAGATACAGAGATAAATTGAGAGAATCCACTCTCAAGAAATTCACTCAACAGAGGAGAATTATGAACTGAAATTTTTGGATTAAAAACTTCTCCATACAATGAAGGAAACATAGCTATTTATAGGCAAAATCTAACATAAGGCAATAAATGAAAAGTGAAAATGCAGTTGGGAGTTAGCCATCTTTGTGGAATTTAGTGGTCACTTTTGATAAAATTGCACCGACCTATTTGTAGTTTGTAGAGTGTAGTCTGAAGTTTGCTAACTTGCAATCCTAGTGCATTGTCGTGGTGCTTTCGTGGTGCTTTCCCCTGGTGCAGATAACAGTTGTTATACCTTGTGATCTGTTTTATTTATGCTCTAACCACAACTTAGCTATGGATTGTGTTCGAAGGACCTTTTTACTTTTGGGCTCAATTTCAACTTGTGGTTCCCTTCTCATTGGATATAGAATTATTGTTTTATTCTAAATAAAACATCACTTGGAATATTTTGCATAAGTAATTGCATGAGGAAGATTGTAAAAACCAGAAATTCTCTCTACTGGTTTTGACTTTCTTTGATTTTGTTAAAATATGAGTTTTCAATTCTGGAAACCACAGCTTTTGAACCCACAATTCACCATAAACTTTTTATCTACCATTAAATCTTCCTCTGCATTCGGCTTCCTAATGAAATGTTCATGCTTCTTTGCATTAGGTATCTTCTCCAGGAACCTTTTATTGAGGGTTCAAAATGGAACATCACTCAAAGTGGCTTCTGTTGAATTTAATCCAAGACGGTTAACAATCTTTTTATGTTTTTAAGACTTTTTTTATAATAATCAATAGGAAATTAGCAAGAAGGGATTTCCTGGTGTCCTAATCGTAATGCTCTAAGACAAGTCAACTGTGTTTTCTTCTAGTTTAGGATACAATTGATTTAGCATATGTTCTTATTTGTTTCTTTTACAGTTTGATGGCTTCATTGACTTGGATTCATATGATACGCTAGCATTAAAACTCAAAGGAGATGGAAGGTGTTACATATCCACTATGAGTTGATTTGTCACGTGTAGAAAGAGAGGAAGATGATAGAAAATGATGCTTGTCTTTTTATCTTTCCTTTTTTTCTTTTTTTGGGCGGGGGGGAATGAACATGAAGTTATGAAGGATAAGTTATTACATTCAAACCAGAATGAGGGGATATTGATTTGTTGGTGGCCTTTCTTGTATTGTGAGGACGATATTTCTGACTGAAACATGCTGCTTATTATGTAAATATTCATCTTTGTTATTAACGTACACTGGTTTTTTAGTAACTTGAAGGACCTTCCAGATTCCTCTTGCTCACTGTTTATAAACATGGAGAGGAAATGTTATAGATGCTAAATTGGAGACGAATCCATCTGGTATTTGTTGGCATGTCTATCCATCAATGCTGAAGGTGGTCTTCCAGGTGCTAAATCTGGCCAGGTGATTTCAGGGTTGAAATCAATTGGATAAAAGCCATAACAACAGAATGAGTTTTTGCATTCTGAAGGAGCAGAAATCAAGCCCTCAAGTTTCTCTACTGTGACAATGTGTATTTCTGCATCTTCCAAAGGCAAAGGTTCAACAATCCACCTAGAATCATGTCTATAATAAATGCACCATTTCATATCATTTCTCATAGATAGATTTTTTGTTCGTAACATCAATGTTCTTCCCTTAACCTTATCTTTTGCCATGAACATGCTTAGATATCAAGAATTTATATAGAATCCAGATATCTTTAGCAAGTCGGCACTGCTGAACAATCTCAACCACACATCTTACCCTTTCTATCACAATAATGCAATCACAAGATGTTGCATCACCACCTCATTTTGGCATCTTTACGGAGAAAATGCATATGAATTGATCCCTGTTCATTATATGTGAAGCAAAGACATAAATATCTAACAATCTTGTATCAGAAACAATGAATTTGAGAAAGAAGATGTGTGGTGGGACCCTACAAGCAAGGTTGTTGGGTCTCATATGGAGATTTGAGGACCCTGCATCTTTTATCATTATGTTACTGTATCAACCAGTATCTTTGGTTTTCAGTATCTAGTGAATAGCATAGGGTTCATGTTTTTGCTTGTCTGTGTTTCCAGCTATTTGATAGTCATCACTCTCGACATTCTTTTGCATTCTTTCCTCTTTTCCTTGTTTCCATTATCATTGGTTTTGTTTTGTTTTCTTCTTCTTCTTTTTTTTATTTTTCTATTATCATTTTTTTTTATAGAATTTACGTGTGATTTGATGTATCTGGTGGGGCCAATGGGGACCATAAACTTTTAAAATTCTTATTTCCGATAAATATACAAAGAGATGAGTGTTTATTAACTGCATTGTACTTAAAATTATATTATTTATTTAAACACCACTAGAAAAAAACTAAAATAATCTTATTTTAGTTTTAAAAATTAAAATGTTTTAGTTATTTCAATTAGAAATTATTAAAACAACTTAATTTTAAGATATTTTTTCATCTAATTTTTTGTATTACAAGTTGAATGGCGTGGAAATTTCAGTTCCAGATGTCCACTTTGATCCTTTATCTCTCCAATAGACAAATATCCATATATATTCATGAAATTGGTGAATTCTGTTTCCAGATGTTGTGCTAAAATTCTTTAATGGTCACTGAAGAATGTAAACGGAAACCACAACGTTCTTAATGTCAACTTGACATCAATTTGGTCTCTAAAATATTATTCTGATACCAATCAAGTTGTAGCATTTGCATTTCGTTCTATTCTTTGGCGATTGCTCCAGTTCAACACCAATAAAAACTTGCATGATGTTTGTAGATTGCCAATCCATAAGAGAAGTTGGTAGCAAAACTCGAAATTAAGAATGGACAGTCAAATAAAAAAGATCAATTCTTACCAACTGAATGCCTTTTGCAGACATATGTCATTAATAGGACTAAATTCATAACTTTTAAGGATCAAATTGTTATTGCATTTAATCTTTCTTTTTTTTTTTTTTTATACAATTTAATCTTTCTTAACTACATAGAAATTTTATGTAATTCAAAGATAATTGGTTTTTCTGTTTTGGAATGAGAATTTCCTTTTAAGGTATTGAGAAATTGATTCCTTCTGTATCCTTCTTTCCATAATTGCGAGGTAGTATGAACTGAAGTGCATTTGTGTGCATGTTGCATGGAACAAGCAATGATGCAACAGAGTGAGAGTGAGGAGAACAATGTCGTTTTTTCATGAGAAAATGTGTAAATAAGAATATTAACTTTGTACTTTTTTATTTAAAGATATTAATTTTATTTGTTTTTTAAATAAATATACTAATTTTTAACTTTTTTATTTAAAAATATCAACTTTCAATATTTTCTATTTAAAAATGTCAATTATTAACCTTTTTTATTTAATGATATCAATTTTCAATATTTCAATTAAAGAATTCATTTGTTACATTAGCATTACTATTAAATTAATTCTTAAATAGAAAAAGCTGAATGTTGATATCCTTAAATAAAAAAATTAAAAGTTGATGTTTTTATTTAAAAACTAATAAAACTAATATTCTTAAATAAAAAGTACAAAATTTGTTAGGTTCTCTTTGTATTTTGATGATGATTTAAAACCATGATTTAAAAGAGTTTAATCTATTTTTCTACTTAGTGTGCAAGAAAATTAATTCAAGAATTCTAATATTTCCCAACAATTATAATTAATTCATATTCTCCTTGTCTAGAGTTCTGGGTTAGAACCAATTCCAATTGATTCGAACCTATCTCGTAGTTTAAGTTTTTCTAAAAACAATTCGAACCAATATTTCTAACTTTGAAGTAAAAATTCTAGAAGGTACACCTTTGACTGTTCAATTATCTATTTTGTCTTAATGGGCCTTAGAGGAATTCAAATGACTAAGCACATTCCAAGACAAGTCAAAGTTTGTTACAGGAAGTAGAAAAAGGGTGGAATTTGATTGGAGCAATTGTTAGGTGGCTTTGAAGGGCAAAATAGGGTTTAATTGCAAGAGCTCTCAACTAACTATTAAAGAGCATAAAAAAATCAGATATGTAGAGTTCTCCCCAATAGACTTAAGGTGAGGAAGATAGAAAAACACAGTTTGAAATTGAAACTATTCTGAATCTTCTTCTTCTTCTTCTTGTGAGCTTTTTGGGTTAATTGTCTTCGCTTAGTAGGGTGTTGTATTCTTCTTAGATTAGAATAATCCTTGAAAAGGTTGAGTGAGTTGTTGGAATTCACTTATGAGGGTTTAATCTTGCACCTTGAAGCAAGAGTGTGAGGGTTTAATCTTGCACTTGTAATCAAGAGTTTATTTCAGTTTAATCTTACACCTATAAGCAAGAAAATCGTAGTGGATTGAACTCTCGAGGAAAGAGACTTAGGTAGTAGACATATCCCGGGTTGAAGGAACCACCATATATCACGGTTTAATATTCCCTTCCTTTTTCTTTTTTTTTTTTTTTTGCACTTTATTTGCAAGATTGTAATTATTGTTTATTTATTTT